CTAGATAGTAGAATATACTAGATAGAGTTTTTAGTTATAGACAAAAATTTGATTAAATAAAGTATTAGCATGATTGCCAAAAAAAAAAAAAAAAAAAAAAAAAAAAAGTAATTCAAATAATTAATTCATCCAAAGTTAACGAATAAATACCAAACATATATAGAAATTATGAATCTCTCAATGAGTCCAAGTTCTGTAATAATATTAATCAGTAACTCTGATGAACATAATTTGGTAAGCATTATCTTGATAATTAATTAGTAACTCTGATAAATATAATTTTGGTAGAATTAATTCATAACTCTAGTAAACATAATTTTGGTAGAAGTAATTCATAACTGGTAAAACATAATTTTGGTAAAAGTAATTCGTAGCTCTAGTAAGCATAATTTTGGTATAATTAATATATAACTCTGGTAAGCATTATCTTGATAGAATTAATTAGAAATTAATTCGTAACTCTGGTAAAACATAATTTTGGTAGAAGTAATTCGTAGCTCTGGTAAGCATAATTTTGGTAGAATTAATATATAACTCTGGTAAGCATTATCTTGATAGAATTAATTAGTAACTCTGGTAAATATAATTTTGGTAGAATTAATTCGTAACTCTGGTAAGCATAATTTTGGTAGAATTAATATATAACTCTAGTAAGCATTATCTGAAATATCTAGCGAGGTTAATATACTATTTTTGTTAAGAGTATCTGCTAGTGCTACTCCACCTACATGACCAAGGTGATTATGGTTAAGGTTTAAAGTTTTTAACGTAGTGTTTTTGCAAAGAACATCAGCTATTGCTTCAACTCCAAAATGATAGAGGTTATTTTTTGAAAGATCTAAAAAAGTTAAAGCGTTGTTATTTTTGCTAAAGTATCTGCAAGAGCTTTTCCAACAACAGATTCAAAATTATTATTGGAAAGGACAATATTAGTTAACGTTTTGTATTTGCTAAGAATGCTTGCTAGAAAGATTCCTCCAAAATGTTATTTGAAAGATCTAAAGAAGTTAAATAGTTTTTGCAAAGTGCAATTTCTATACCACCAAAAGGACCAAGGTTATTGTTTGAAAGGACAATATTAGTTAACGTTTTGTATTTGCTAAGAGTGCTGAATCCAGATTTAATGACTAAATCCGGATTTAATGATTAAATCCGAATTTATTTATTAAATCCGGATTCATGTATTAACTCTAGTCTAACAACTATAATTGCGATTCTTTCTTGTCGTATTTAAAATTTAATTACAAACTAGCTGTTCATATTCGTTAACTCTGGTAATACTTTTGAAAATTGGGTTGAAAATTATATTACGTTTCAACTGGAAATTTCGCCCATATGATAAAGTTTGGTATCATTTATATGTTCAGTACTTAGGGTTGTTAAAACTTTTCTGACCTGTATAACCCGCCCTATATGTGATTGTTGGTTTGCGCCGTAATTGTCTAAAATGAGTTATGAGCCAAAGCCTGTATGGAAGAAAAGAATTAAATGTTCAAATTGTTCAGTAAGATGTAAAGCTGTATATCATGAAGAGGGAGAGCAATGTCCCCAAACTTATCCTCGATGGAATGTTAACTTGTGGAAATTTAAATTTTATAAGATTTTATTTTTTTGTTAAATTTGTAATAATTTGGTATTCATTTAATAAGGATTGTTTATTATGTGTAATATTCGATATAAACAAATTGCGTGCTTGATCATACATAGGAATTCACCCGGCAACACCGATGAGAAAGAAAAGTCCTTGGATCCAATTCAAATCAATTAATTAATGTTATATGATTAGGTTAGAGTTTAGGGTTAGTGTTGTTAGTAAAAAAGTATATGTAAATTTTAGTGGGTAAATAGGGACCCTAGATTTCAGCATCAGCCACGACAATTCATGCTCTAATTCTGCCCAAATTCATGATGATTTAGACCAAATTTATGTTCTAATTCGGCTCAAGTTTATGTTCAATTCGACCCAAATTTATGGCCAAAATTCATGCTCTAATTCGGACTAAATATATTCTATAACGATAATAATAACAGATAATAGTAAATACATATAATAAATATCATAACGATAAAGTATTACACTTTGTTTAATCATTGTGTGGTCTGTCCATACTACCAGCTTCAGGAAAATATACATTTTTAAAAGTAGTATTACATTTTTTACAAACAGTTTTCTTTTTCGAATAACCGAATAATCTCGGTAAACCTAAACAAAAAGCCCAAAATAAAGTTCCCCGAGTACTTTTCGTAATTTTTTTAAAAACAAATATTAATATTTCTTATTATGTTTTCTGTGAATTCGCGAAAAGTTCAAATTATGATTTAATTTTTAATTATTTAACACTTACTAATGAGACCTTAGCTCATGTGAACCACCTTTTGGACAAGGTCCTAATTGTTGTGCTAGACGTTGTTGTTCAAGTAATGCCGGATCTTTAGTATTTTTTATTTTATTAAACGAAAGTATAAAGAATGTTATATTTTTTAAACTAAAGAACGGGTTTATACAATTATGTTTCCTTACCTTCATAAGGTTTATACACTTGTGAATCACCTCCAGGATATGAAGACATTCTTTGTGGAAATTGCGAAGGAATGTTTGACCTAAAAAATTATGGCAGGGTGAAACCTGCTAGTGAAATAAGCGGATTTTCATCCTCAGGTGATCTATTTAATTCTGCAATTCAGAATTGCAATCCTGCAATTAGTTTGTGTAACTTAAAAATTTACCGACTTTATTTGAAATATTGTGTAAATCCACTTTCCCGCCAAAATCTTCGCCATGTACTTTTATCACCTAAAGTTTGAACTCTACATTCCAACAGGGAATATTTCACAAGATAATTTTCAAAAAAAATCCATTATTGACAAAGAATCTCTTGATTTGTTTTACGTTCCAACCGATATTTTTACAACTTTACCTGCACATTATCAACTAAATAACGAGCCGCAACCGCAGTCAGTCTTACAAATAAGTAATTCTAAAGTTAGGGGACAAACTAAATCCAAAACCAGATCCTTAGATCTTTCAAAGCCTGCTTCAAGTCAAGTACCTTCAATCCCACCAACCCCTATTTCTAAGGATAATAGTTCTTTAGGTACATCTAATTCTCCTTCAGGTTGGACAATTGTTGGAAGACGAAAATCAATTGCATCTGCTTCTAACGTACCTTCAACAACAGCAATAACGACAACTAAAAGTGATTTTGATAAAACTCACGATTTTCGATTTGGAAAGATTGAGATCGAGTGGTTTGATAATTCTGATAATTCTGAAATCATAAGTGATACCGAAAATATGAGTGAAAAACAGAAAACCAAATCAAGTAGTGATAAAGCAGTAATACCTGCTGGCGATTTCATTCCGCTTAAGTCTGGAAAAACGAATATTAGTTATGGTTTACTACATTTGTATCGTGATCCGAGTGAAATTCTTCTATCAAAAGATGACCAAAGTTTTATTCGAGTTGAAAAGAACAATAAAAATAACTCTAGTAAATCGATTAGTCCTGATTCAAAGCAAACCTCTATTGAAAAACAAGAGGACTTTCCTGAAATACTGAATAATGATGAAACAATATTGGCCGTATTGGCTGTGCCTTCTTTTATGAGTGCTTCGGATTTTCTAGCATTTGTTGCTCCTGTACAAAGATTTGTAAGCCATTTTAGATTTATCAGGTATGTTATAATTATATTTCATATTTTGATATTTTGATAATCATATTTAAATATATTAGATTATTTAATTACTTTGACTAGAGATTCGGCACCCAACAAGTTTATGGTCTTGATGAAGTTTCGACATGCACGAGCTGCTTGGGATTTTTATAGACAATTTAATGGTCGTCCTTTCAGCTCTATGGAGGTTCATATATATTTATATATATATATTAATTTTTTGTTTTATATATCTATTTTCGTTTATTTATATTTCTTAACTTTTTATATAATTTATTCAGCCCGAAATATGCCATGTGGTCTACATAAAATCTATCGAATTCAAGTCTACATCTATTCCACCTGATGCATTTCCCTTTTTACATGATCCTTTTATACCCTCTACTCAAAACGATACATCGAAACCTAATGATCAGAATCAACAATCCTCTGTTTTATATGAACTTCCAACATGTCCTGTATGTCTTGAAAGAATGGATGCATCGGTAACTGGGTTGCTCACGATTCTGTGTCAACACACGTTCCATTGTGATTGTTTAAGTAAATGGGGTGATAGTAGGTATGTATGTTAACGTTTAGTTAGTATCTTTATAAATATCAAATTTTTTTATTTATTTTTATAGTCATTTAATAATGTTATATTCGTAGTTGTCCTGTGTGTCGTTATAGTCAGAAAAGTAACGTTTTCGATGCATCATTAGGACAAAATGAATGCGGTGTTTGTGGTGTCACTGAGAGTTTGTGGATATGTCTTATATGTGGCAATATTGGTTGTGGTCGATATCAAGAAGCACATGCATATTGCCACTATAAAGAAACTTCACATTTATATGCATTAGAATTAGAAACTCAAAGGGTTTGGGATTATGCTGGTGACGGGTAAATTAAATCATTCCATTGTTATGTGATATCAAATTGGTACATATTTTAAATTTTTATTTCAATAATAGATACGTACATCGTTTAATACAAAACAAATCTGATGGTAAATTAGTAGAGTTACCTGGTCCTGATGAAAATCCACTTCAAATGCAACAACCACGCGCGGAAGTTGACCAGGTTAGCTTGATTATAAAATTATTGATCAATTTTTTATTATATACAATTATTTATTTATGTAAATTTCGATCAGGATAAACTTGATGCCATTGGACTAGAATACAGTTACCTTTTATCAACTCAACTTTCTTCTCAACGAGTTTACTACGAAGAAAAACTTGAGTCGGTAACTCTTCAATTATCAAAGCTTACAAGTCAAATTCAAAAATTAGAAGAAGATTTTTCAACTTTGAATCAAGACAGGGATAAATATAAAAAGGAAAATGAATTACTTGAAAAAGAAAAAATCCCATCTTTGATAAAAGAGAAGAAGGTTTTTGAAAAGAAAATAGAAAAATTCACTGAAAAATCAAATAAACTCGAAAAAGAGTTGAGTGGTGAGAAAGAGGTAATGCATTTCATTAATCATATTGTATTTACTTGATTTACTGAGAAACCATTTTATTTTATTAATCAACTAATTTCACATGTATGTATTAGTTAACAAAATCTTTACTAATGAAGCAAGAATATTTGCAATCCCAATTGGAAAATAAAGACACAAAAATTAAAGATCTTGAAGAACAAGTGCGAGACTTAATGTTTTTCTTTTCGTCACAGGAAAAGTTGAAAGAAAATCCAGAGTTGGCTGGTGGGAATATCGTTGTTTCAGAAAATAGTGGAAACAGTGGTGGGAATGCGAGAAAGAAAAAAGGCAAAAGATGAATTTATTATCATCTTTCGAATTAAATAATCTGTATTATAGTACATCGATATAATCAGCTAGTATAAGGAAACCAATTTCATTTTATGAACATGATTAAAGTAAATTGTTCTCTATAAAAAAATATTGGTACCAACTAGATACAAAATGAAATACAAATGTAATATAATTAATTAGTTTCACAATTGACACAAAAATAAAAAAAAAGAGTCGTTTGCTAATTCTGCAACTATATTAAGCAACAATTTGATTATAATATAAAAAAAAACAATTTTTATATCGTAACTAAATTAATCCTTTATCCAGCTTTAGAGGCTTTTATTGCTTTTTTAATTGATGCTTTATCAGTTTGAGGTTGTTGTGATTCAACAAGGTTACCCAAAAGACCAGCAGTCTTGAATGGCCTTTTTAAATCCCCTTCAGCCGGTTTACCAAACAAATGAATTTGGACGAGTGGATTTTCATATAAAATCTTGAGAGGTAGAATGGATTGAATGAATAAAGGTTGAGTAAATTCAAACCAAAAATGTAAAACCGTCATAAGAGCAATTCCAACAAAGGTTTGTTTAAGAAGTTCTTGAAGTTTTCCAAGATCATAATCACAATTAGTCGTTTCAACAGGTTTTGGAGGTTCACCAATAAAACTTTTTCCAGGTTCGACATATTTAAGAGGAGTTCTATCTATAATACATTTTTAAATATGAAAATTAAGATAATAACTTGATAAATTTTAGAATAATAAGAATAAAAAAAAATCAATAATACCATTTACTTTCTTTATCTTTGTTGCAAGATAATAACAGATTGAAAGAACAAAAGTTTGAACTACTATATAACCAGTACGAACATATATAATTGAATCCGAATTTTCAAGATCTAATTTGCGAGCAACTTGAACGGTAAAAAGGATGAGCACCACGTTCAATACCTAAAAAAAAAATGAATTTACGAGTTTAATTCTTGCCAAAGTGTAGTAAGCACAGAACGCTGAATAATACCTGAGAATGCATGTTTGTTTTTTCCGAAAAAAAAAAAAACCAAGAAAAAGGGGATATTTATGATAACGATAATACGTAGGATTAATTAAATTTGCAATTATCTATCACGTGATTAGGATGATATAATAACGATAGCGATAAAGTTATGGCGAATGGGGTAAAGTGACGAATTGTGCATATCACAAGAAAACTTGAATTTCGACCACTAACTGCTAAGTGAAATTGTTCGAAATACCAATTTTTACTTTTAATTTCAATCTTTTACTAATAGCGATAGGTTTTTTCGTTTATATAATCTTCTGTCACTAACTGCTAAGTAAAATTATGGTTAATAAAAATTTCAGTTAAATTTAAGATCAGATGTAACATAAAATCAAAACAAAATACACCCTAATGCCGGTAGTAGTATTCGGATTTGTTGAATGGATAACAGATAATGTATGTTTTCATTCAACGGATAGTTTATCCGGACAATCTATCTATACTAACGTTGTCTGTCACGAACGTTTGTCTACTTTCGGCAAAGCATGGAATTGATTTCTGCTATGCCGATAGGAATGGTAATATTGTGCTGGGAATTAAGTGATATATAGGAAATAATATATCTAAAAAATCCGATGATTAACAAGTTCCTTTGACGATCAATTCATGATACCAGCAAAGAATCAGAAGAAAAAATCACGAAAGTAGAAGCATAACTATAGATTGAGGTTCTATACAATATCCCGAAATGTCACCTCAATATTTAAAGTCCGCGATTATTAATAATTGTGATTACTAATCGTGGTAACAATTAATTTTTGTTTCGGGATATGTAGTAGAACCATAGATTGAAGTGATAATAAATTATCCGGAATACAAAATTGAAATCATCAAATTGAACTTCAACCCGGCATATATTGAACACGTAGTAATCTTGGATCCGTATCATTTCGCCGACAATCATTTCATCGACAGCTAATTTAGCTGACATCACGCCAAGTGACAATTTACCAAAAATATATACCTGAAACTAATAAAACCCTAACCCTAACCCCATGTGATGTCGACGAAATGAACTTTCGGTGAAATGACTGTCGGTGAAGTGAGCGGCACCGGTAATCTTTAAGTAGAATAGTTTTCTTAATAACTTCCGTGGTTTACACCTGAAAAATTTCTTGTTCCCGAAATCTCCTGTCTTAAAAATCATCCAACTTTTCGGAAACTATGTCACTGTCTCTGGATTGGAGGTAATTTCCGAAAAGTTAGGTGATTCTTAAGACAGAATTGAGGAGATTTCGGAAAAAAGCAAATATTGTAATGGTAAAGCTAATGTGGGTGGCAGAATCGATTTTCGGTCTCATGATTTTCGAACAAATTCCAAGTTTAGATCTTCTAGCATAATCATATAGCTATAGCATTACTAGTATTTATACTTGCTGGCAAAATGGCAAAACCCGGACAAATTCAAAAAAACAATTGCTATTTATAAAAAATTGAATCA